TTTTTTAAACTTTCAAACCCCCCCCCCCCCCCCCATGTGATAGCTTATTGGTGGTGACAGGTCCAAAAGACCCCTAGTATCACCTTTACACTCTAAATAAGCTATTGAAGTGCAGATCGCTCCTGAAGCCCAGCAATTACAGCTCAGGTACCGGAAGTCATGTAATATGCGTCAATCCTGGTCCCATAGAACGGGGGGGGGGTGTTCACCGCTCTCCTCCCCAGATTCCACTGACACCCGAGATGCCACTATACCGTGTTGCAGAAGCGATCTGGCAGCAGATGAGCAGCCAGAATCGATTCTACTGCACATCTGAATAGAGCACATCTGAATAGAGTCTGTTTAACCCCTTCAGGATTCATGACAGGGTTATCCCGTCATGGTTCGTGAAGGGGTTAAAATTGAGTTTACCTGTGAAACCGCAAAAAAATACAATACCCCAAATTTCCTATAGGCGACGCTTTAAAAGCTTTTACTGCTTATCAGTCTAGTGTTAACAGTGATTGATGGCCCTAGAATTTTCAGACCCCTAATGTCACTTAGGGAACCCAAACAAGCTGATGGAGCAGTTATCCGATTCACCAGCTTCTTCACCTGGCTCTAAGAGCCGGAGAATGTGCACAGTGACATCGGGAGTGATATAATACACATCACTTCCAGGTCCAGTGATAGGAGGAGAGATCAGAGGCTAGAAGCCTGCTGATATCCCTTTGATCTATCAGGGGACACCTGCCGTGCTGTTGCCGGGCCCACACGGGGGGCAGCGTAGCCCGGGGTAGCCGACGACGGGGAGCACATTCCGACCACTTTGTACAAGCGATCCGGCAGCTGTATAGATGCCGGATCGCTTGTATCTTAACAGCAATCACCTGCTGTTTAAAACAATACCAAAGAACACGGCTGCTGCTGCAGCAGCGTGTTCTTGGTATAATTACTTCAGGTCAGGACGTTTTTGATGGTGGGTGGTCCTGAAGTGGTTAATGGCCATTTTTAGTTGTGTTAAGCTTTTGAAGGACTCCCTTTATGCAATTGTTTTCAACGCATCTCCTGGCATTGCTGATGTGAAGGGGCCCCTTCATACAATGAATTTTCTCAGTCAACGCCTTTTTCCCCACACTTAAAAGCAGCATCTGGTCTGTGAAACCCCTTATAGGTATACCATATACCATAGCACTTACTTGTTAAAAGCCTCCATGATGCACTTGCAAACCTCTACTCGAACACTCTCTTTCTGAAACATATCAAGGAATGGCAGGAATTTTTCCTAAAACATTCAATATACAGATTTTTAATTATAAGGAAGACATTTAGTGATCTAGCAAATTGAAATAAAAAAAGCTCTACTCACCACATAAAAAAGGACTGAGAAGTCTTGGAAATATGCTATAACTTTGGTAATTACAGACTGAAGCTAGGAAAAAAATAGAAAAATATTAATACTTTTTTGGTAATTAATTAACACCTTCCTGAATCTGTAATTTCAAGTTAATGTCCTCCTGGTTAGTTCCCCAAGCCCAGGAAGACGAGAATAAATGTTTCCTATTTGCATGTCCATCAGCCGGAGATTGTTCTGATCTCTATGGGTAGGCTGCACAGTGCTGTGGGGAACCCAGAACCCAGAGACTTGAGAGGAGATTTACAAGGGCTATACGGTACACTCAGTGACAAACACAGAGGGGGGAATTTATCATAGCAATTGCGAGTGTTTAAAAAATATAAATAACCCTCTGTGCTAGGAAACTCATAAAAACAAACTTATAAAATAGGCAGTCAGTATTTTAGTGCAGAAAAAAACCCTCTAATATAGCTAATTAACTTATAAGTATACATATAACACAATAATGTTCTATAAGTGGTGATGAAGCCACAAAGTGAAACACTCAAAAAAAAAAGGGGGTTAACAGTGTATCGTATAACAATGTGTTCAAATGCTATGACAGTGTCCTTTGATCCCTTGAAACCAAAATGTGTGTGATCTTCTGCGCAAGTAAAAAAAACGCACAGGTGCATCCAATTGCCAGATGAAACCACAAAGGGAGCTGCTGGATATTCCCCCCGAAGTGAAATCTGTGATCACACCCAAAATATTCCCCTGTTCACCTTAAAAACATGACCATCACTAAAATATATTAGCATGGTCTAACGTGCTTCCCCTTCTCTCAAGGGTGGTAATGTATCGCTCCAATGAGGTAATGTCTCAGTTCATCCACAAAGTGTAATATCCGGAAGAAAAAGGAATGGCATATAGCATAATATTGGTTTAAAATTTATATTAAATATACATAAAGTAGCTACTCGCATAATGCTCTATTAGAAACAGTCAATTATACAGATCCCAGACTATAAGAGGCAGCACGCACTGCAGTATAGCGCTCTCCACACTCCTAGTTAGTGATTGTGTGTATGCTCTGAACGTTTATAGGAATTGTATTGATAGACTCCATCTTACGTGTTATGTCTCAACGACTTCATCAGAGGTATGATCAAGAAGCCCATCACGAAACACCTCCTATATTAACTCTCATAGTCTATGGTCGCCATGGCAACAAACATAGCCATATAGCAACTCAGGAGGCTACATCTTATATCCATGAATATATGCCGTAGGATTGTGAGTTTCACCTATTGTGGCGAACCTGCAAATGGAGGAAGCAGAAAGGAAGGCCCTGACCACCTTCAAAGGAATTACACTTGTCATTGGTTCAGATATGTAGATGACACTTGGGTTAGGATTCAGAAACAAGGCTTTCACTGACCACATCAACTCAGTGGATCATAACATCAAGTTTACAAGGGAAGATATTTGTCTACTCTGCCTAAAAATTTCTGTTTTATTTTTACATTCACAGTCAACCTTATTCAAAAAGTTTTTAATTACCCTGTGAGAGTAACAAATTCAGGTAAATCCTGGAATGTTATCTTCAAGTGATACCTCTCCCAATCTGTGTGCGAGCTGAACAACCTATACCACACTCACCAGATTTGGTGGACCATTAGATATACAATGGTCATATAACACGCAAATTAATGATGAATATTCTTCCACCAAGGAGTGTTTCGTCATGGGATTTAATTGAGCTCAACCCAGAAGAAATCACATGACAATACGCGTTGGTGGGTGGCTACACGTTGACGTCACTTACAAGACACTCGACAGGACAGAGTTTACAGCGAGAGAATCAAAGGATGGAGTGTTTATACTTTCCGGCTGATGTTAATCTCCTATACCGGCTGGGAACTACTTTGAGAAAGAGGAAGGATTATTGTATGGGCGATGAAATCTTTGTCGTTTGTGAGTGTTTTTAATCTATTTTTTTTTAAGTTGTTAAGATGTAACACGTAAGGTGGAGTCTATCAACACAACCCCTAGAAGCTTTCAGAGCATAAAAACAACCACTAACTGGGAGTGTGGCGAGCGCTATACTCCAGTGTGTGGAATTTGTATAATTGGCTAAATAATAAAGACCATACGAGGAGTCCTTATATTTAATAAAGTTTTAAAATTATATTATGCTAAATGCCATTCCTTTTTCTTCCGGATAATACACTGTGTGGATGAACTGAGAGGCATCGTTATCTTATTGAAGAGACACATTACCACCCTTGAGAGAAGGGGAAGCACGTTAGACCATGCTAAAATATTTTAGTGATGGTCATGTTTATAAGGTGAGCAGGAGAGTATTTTGAGGCGTAATCACAGATTTCACATTGGAGAAATATCTGTCACGCCTGTCAGTGGTTTGGGGTTTGTGGATCGCAACTGCGGAGGCTTCTCAGGCGGGAACCCTGGTTTCACTCTCAGTCTTAAGGGAGAGTTAGGGTTACAAGCATCACAGCCTCAAAATAACAAATATGTGGTTCAGAGGGGGTTATTCCTTCATAAGCCCTCCCCGTAAGCACCAGAGATAAATTTAGGAGTTTACGGAGTATAGGTCAGGAAGAGAGCACCAAAAGCAATACAGGCTATAAATGAGGCTCCAGCTAGAAGTAAAGCAAGATATGCAAGTCCACAATGGCATTCAGTATCTATGGCAGGTGTGCAGATGCAGAGAGTACTTGCGGTTGTGGTGGAGGAGTAGATGGAAGGAGCTGGGGGTCCTTTGGGAGTCCTGTCCGCAGGTGCGTGGCTGGAAGGCACAGGCTGGTGGTTATGGAGGGTCCCAGGAGACAACAGGTGTTCTGGCTCAATAGTGGAACGCCATGCTGTCTCGTCTGGGCGTTTATATAGGGCTATGGAGAGGAGGAGCCGCGGCACGCAACGGCGCACTTCCGCGTTCCACGGTGGAACGCACCCGGCCCGCGAACCGGAAGTGACGAGCGTGCACTCCACCATGGAACGCAAGCGCCCGAGAGAAGGAGCGGCTGGCTGCGGCGTCACCCGTCCCTGCTATAGCTGACGGCGGCGGCCGTTACAATATCCAGCAGCACCGTTGGTGGCTATATCTGACAGCTGGATCCACCTGTGTTTTTTTTCTACTTGGGCAGATCACAAACATTTTGGTTTGAAAAGATCGAAGTACACTATCATAGTATATGGACACATTGTTATAAGATATACTGGTAACCTTTTTTTGAAAAGTTTCACGTTGTGGATTTACTTTGTTACCACCTATATATCATGTATTATATGTACACTTATTTTTTACGTTAAACATTTTCATTGTTATAATTGGGCCATATTATCTGAATTTAACACACAGTGCTTTGTGGGGGAAATGGCTTACAAAATGGAGGAATTGAAACTTCTACTACCCAAAAATGAGTATGACTTTGTGGAAATAGCAGAAATCTGGTTAGATTCACATGGCTGGGCTGCAAATATGAGGTGATATACACTATTTTGAAGGGATAGAGAACGAAGAAAAGGGGAGCTGTGGGTCTTGGAACTGGAAGAGCACCAACGGGTGAAAACATTTTTTTTGCATTGTTCCATGTCCAAAATGCTTCCAGTCTGTCCCTCCACATTAGTGATTTTTATTATTATTATAACGGATTTATATAGCACCAGTGCTTTACAAAACTTAGGGAGACAATACAGTTAATAATACAATTTAAATACAGGAAGGTAGGAGAGCCTGCTTGTGAGAGCTTACAATCTAGTAGGAGGGGCAAATTGTAAGATAGATAGCAAATTGAGAGGAGAGGAAGATAGCCATTTTGCCATCAATTCCCTCCGGGCAATAAAAACGTATGAATTCACAACACATCCTAAAACATTTGGGGACATCCTAAAACATTTAAAGGAGAACTATGAGGTGAGTGCTTTTCACTCCTCATAGTTCTAGCCGACCTGCGACAATGAGACTGTCACAGGTCGGCTGAGTAGAGCGAGAAGTGAGCGAACACATAGCGGCGTTCGCTCACCTCTCGATCCTGTCACGGCTCTCTGCCGTGACAGGGGAGGGGCTGGGTTCCCCCCTCCCCGCTCCGATCCTCCAGCGCTGACTGGCGGATCGGAGGGGGAGGGGGGCGGATACAGCTGGCTCTGCCTCTAGATAGGCAGAGCCAGCTGTCACTCACGCAGCTGGGCGGATCCAGACATAATTGTCGGGATCCGCTTCAGCTGCGGCGTCTCAGTTTAGCGCGAGCTACAGCTGCAGCGTCTCAGTATACCGCGAGCTGTAGCTCGCGGTATACTGAGCTTAGGGTGACAGGAGGACGCTAGTTTGTGTCCTCCTGTTACCCTAAGGAGAACTATGGGGAAAAGCCCTAACCCCATAGTTCTCCTTTAATGTGAAAATGGCATAATGTAGCTTAATGTGTAATAAAGTGCCTAAACCTCAATCAATTGCCTTGAAACTTTGCACAACCTAGGTTTTCAGCTTCTCAAACCTATCCTGGAAGTTTCATGGATTTTGGTTTCCCACAGGGGAAATGAGTGACACTAAGTTGGTTTTTCGGGGCTTAACCAGTTAGACCCCATTCACACCAGGGCGGTTGCGGATCAACATGTTTTCCACACTGATTTTAAAAGGGCGATTTTGGGTGTTTTTAATTGCGTTTCAGCTCTCAAAACTGCGCAGATCCATTGAAAGCACTATGGAAACTGCACTGATCAACGCGGCAAAAGAGTCAGGGAGCAATACGGGTGGGAGGCGGTTCGGAACGCACGGAGCCACGCGGTCACATGAACAGTAACATAGTAACATAGTATGTAAGGTTGAATAAAGACCAAGGTCCAGCCAGTTCAACCTATGTATGCGACTGTGTGTGTATTTATCTTGCTCTAACACTTCCCATACCCCTATAGATTCTGCAAAAGAAGAAACTCATCCAGAAGTTTCTTGAAATACTTTATATAAAATTCTATATCTGCAGTTTGCCTTTGTGGTTTCCTGCTCAGACCCCTGAGCGTTTTGGGCATACTGACAAATGTATATACCTTGGTGGGTACATGCCGTGATGTGAGAC